CAACTTGACACATCCATCCGAACAAATTAAGTGTGCCTTTGTGTCTGTATGTATGTATGTATATATATATATATGTGCTGTGTATTCGTGTGTGGGTGATCTTTGTCCTGAATCACTGAATGTCGAAAGCGCCCCCACTATGACCACGGGATCCTTCAACGGCTGTGTCTGAAACCCCTTCTAGCAGATTCTATAGATTCTAACACCCATGTAGACGAGCATTGCACAAGGTTTTGAGCAGTACTGGCTACAGCCAGTTTGGGAAGGTCTTACTGCCTCCGAGCGGTGACCCTGCAGGATAGGCAACCTTCTGTAACTTTCGCATCGCCAGTAAGTTCAATGCCTCCACATGATTCGCTGAGTGGTGAGTCGCAAGCGGCACATACTTGATTGCACTCAGGTTTCTGTGGTTATGATTGTGCCGCCATGGATTGGTCTTGTTTTCTCTTAGTCGACAAGTACAACTCAGCGCGCAGCTAGATTAAACTGGTCGTTGTTCGCATGTTTAGAGCTTGAGGTGCAGAACGCAGCTGGTGCAGTGTTCGGCAATCCCTTGTTTGGTCGAGCCTCAAGATGCCGTTGTCGAATCCGTCCCGGCGGTGCCGTCATCTGCGTGTTTTGTGAATGGAGTCTTGTGGAACTGTAAACGTATCGGATAAGGAGGCTCCCATTGTCAGTTGTAGAAAGAGATTCGCATGCACTCTGCTTCCTCCACTAGGGTTAGTCGGGTCTTCTGCGCTAAAGCCAACCAGCTAGTCGCGAGCCTACAAAACTGCTTGTTGGTCCAGGTGGACCTGCTGGGTGGCGGTGGCGCTGTGCAAGCTGCAGCACCGCATAGGACCAAGCTGATGCGATTTCAGAAGCAGGTTGGAAGTTCCATCGACAACTTCGGCAGGGTGTACTCGCGGTGCATGACACGAGGTGAACAGCTAAGAGCTTCACGAGAGAAGATGGACGACAGTTCTAGAACTCGTCGTCATCCTGCCGACATCCCAAGGCACAAAACTGAAGCCCAGGACTCTTCAAACCGCCAAGCCCTGCAGACAGACACCCCGCAACACGAAGCAGGGGGGATGATGGTCGCCATGAACGGAGTGCATAGACCATTGTTCACCAAACTGCTCACAATGCTTGGGACGCCAGCAACCGGTCAGTACCGTCTCAACCAGGTCTGCAGACCTCCTCGGCGGCGAGCAGAGGCTTTTTTGTGAGATTCATGTGCTGTGTTCCTGGTACGGGTCCAAGCATGAAGCGAGAGTGTAGATCGTTCCCAGTTGCCCAGCAGGTAGGCGATAGGATAAACCTTTATGCAGCCGCAGCTGCTAAGCGAAAATTTGGCCGGTGCCAGAACACCTGATCTTGTCAGCAGCTCTGCGCCGTCGCAGCCCGCCTCTGCCGGGCTTGTGGCCGGGCGCTTAAAGTTGCACTTCACAGGGTTGAGGCAGTTGGCGGAGAAGAAGCAGGTTGTGTCAATTTCCGAAGTGTTTGTCAGCCTGCGGCAGTGTGGAACCTTTTCCAAAACATCCTTCAGTTATGCTTGGATGTCTTCCCCACACAGCTTGTGAACTCGCTATGCACGTATGCAAATGTAAATGTATACGTACACGTATATGTGTACCTGTACGTGCAGTTGTACGTGTACGTGTATGTATGAATGTATGTATGTATGCACGCATGTATGTATGTATAATCTTATGTATGTATGTATGTATGTATGTATGTATGTATGTATGTATGTAATTAACGTAATGTGATGTAATGTAATGTAATTGATGTATGTATGTATGTATGTATGTATGTATGTATGTATGTCTGTAAGTAAGTAAGTATGTATGTATGTATGTATGTATGTATGTATGTAGACGTAATGTGATGTAATGTAATGTAATGTATGTATGTATGTACGTATGTATGTATGTATGCATGTGCGTATGTATGTACGTATATATGTATGTTTGTATATATATATATGTTAATATATATATATATATACATATATACATATATATACATATACATATATACATATATATACATATATATATATATACATGTATATGCATTCGCGGAAAGATTGAGCTCCGAGGACACGCTGGATCCGCTCCTGAGTGCTCCCAGCGCACCCAGCGGAGGCTGGGGAGTTGTATCACAAATCGAGGCTGCATTTCTTTAACTTCCCGCCTCTTCAAATTCTGGCATTCGGTTGTTGAGACGCGGTGCACATTGCAGGCCTCCTCGCGGGGCTTGCCCTTGATGCACCAGTGCTGGCCTTTGGATGAAGTCAAGACGTCTTTGAGCTAAGCAGAGAGCTCCAAAGATGGCACCGATGCTGTAGCAAATGCGTAGCCGCAGCCGAAAATCCCTCTGGTAGCGTACTCCAAGGGCGGACCAGTGCAATCGGCACGCGAAGAACACCACAGCTTTCGGCTGAGGCTCCGACATCTGCGCCAGCAGCGGCGCCGGCAGCGCCTGCTGTTCCAGGCCATGAACTCGCACGAGCCAAGCCCGACTGCTGTCCCGACGTTCAACGCTGAGCTGAGTAGAGACAAGAAGTGAGGAATGGCATGCATTGCACTTACGGTCCCGCAAGCGTCTCGGCGCATCCAGCGAAATCGGAGGAGCGAAAGCCGGCACCCTCGGCGCCGGGGCCATGCTCCAAAAGGAGAAGCAGACAAGAACCAGGTATCCAAAGAAAGGAACATACTACTATAAGACGTCAAAGAGCTGTGGGGCCAGAGGATTTTGGGCATGGCTTTGTGGGCGCTGTTGCTGGCATGGGGAAGATTCGGTTGAGAGCTTCGTTTTCAAGATTTTCCAATCATCCTACTGGGCTTCCGGATGAAAGGCCTCGGAGCTTGGCAGCCGGTGGAGAGGAAGGTGTCAGGCTTGTTCGCGGGAGAAAAAGCAGCACCGTCTCGTCTAGTTTTGAGGTTTGTTCGCAGTTCTGCGCTTGATGGGAGACGTGCTGGCATAGAGGCTCATAGAGGGGGGAATTGAAGATCCGTCAGAAGGCTTTGGGATGTCAGATGTAGCGATGGGAAAAAGTGCGCAGTCAGCAGAGCAGGACAGTGCCAAAGAGGACATCTTCGGTTTTGTCGGTGCGGAGATGTCCAAGGCCGGAGCTGAGTGAACCCAAAACACCTGCGTGCCTGGCTGCGTATGGATTCCGCTGCAGGCAAATAAGTGATGAGATGTGCGACTCTCGGGTCGTCCAGATTTCGGATACACCCGGAGGGTCACCGGATCTGCAGTGACGGTCTTCTGCAGCGGAGGTTTGATCATGGAATGACTCTGGACGAATACTTCTAGTTGATTCTAGCTGGCAGTACATCAGGTCAGGACGCTGCCTGCTAGAGCAGTAGAGGATTGCATTTGCCCAGATCCTCGTGCTAAGTTTAGGGTGATGTTCAGAATTGCTCCGAGGTTACATGCGACGAAGAGGAAGCGCTTGCAGTCATGCGTTCAGCTGGGGAAGACACGGTAGACGTTCTCCGATTCTGTGGTGGGCCCGATATCGAGTCGAGGTGAAGACGACATCGAAGCTACAGCTACTGTTGTTTGAATCATAAAGATTCCAGTGGGCAGCTGTTGGAAAAGTCTGGTGCAAATACAAGGGTCCAGGATTGGCCAGGTGAAAGTGACCTGCTCCATAGAACCGAAGGCACATCCTGAACCGAAGAGTGGTCTGCAGATAGCCAGCAAGCTCTCAGCCAGCAAGAGAGGAATCTTACGTTTTGCCTTGGCACCAGGACCCGCGGCATTGCCAAAGCGCTTCAACTGAGCTCGAGGTCCTTTTGTAAAGCTCGAAGCTGCGTGGCCGCGGCCGCCGCGGCCATGGCCTGACGAAGACTAAGACTGCCCCGAACGCAACAGATTAGCAGGTCACTGCCAAGTGGAGTACAAGTTGAATTTCAGTTGATAGCATTTGCTCTTATGGGGTCGTGAAGTGCACACAACACCTCAAGTCTCCCAGTAGCAGAGATGGTGGTGCTGATCGTAGCCTCGAGGCTCAAGCCACCTTCCGAGTCGAGACTTGCGTCTCGCTGTCTGACAAGCAGGCGCTGAGATGGCAGAAATCCGGAAGAAGGCTGCAACATGGTGTAGGCCCAGTTTACGGTGTTTGCTTTCCAGTCGGATTTCGCTTTCCCTGCCCTAGTTGTGCGGTGGAGGCTCAAGCATGTCAGACTGTGCTCCCGGAAGCAGTAAGCATACTGCAAGTACTACAACGACACCTGTCCGACATTGCATAATAAGAATGCAATGGTTTTTCGATGCTGTGCAATAGTATGTTACTACAGACGTTTCAATGTAGGGTATGTATGTAATCCAGTCTTGTTTCCGGCGTTTAATTCTTGTCGTTGCCATTCTGTTGGATGCGACGAATAGTTTTCTATCACATCGCCACGATCGCTCTTGTTCCTGTCACTACCACTACTCTGCAAGTTACTCTTTGTACTACAGTACGGCAGAGAAGGCTGCTTCACAAAAGCATTGGACCGTGCTGTGGGAGCTCACAGCCTTTGTTCCACGCATCCTTAGGCGAGGCAAAGGAGCGGCAGACCAGCCCTGAGGATTGAGGAGGGAACTCCGGCCCGAAGCGGTGCATGTACTACAACATTGCATGGCATGATACTTCAGTTCCCTCTGCAAACCTCCACGATAAACTCGAAGCGCTTGCAAGCGCTGTGAAAAGGCTGGTGGCATGCAAACTGTGTGACGTCTCGATTCGTGATTGCTTTCCATCAGACCAACATACCGCCCCATACAATCGAAGCTGTTTTGCGACAAGGGAGCAGAGATTTCCCTTGCCAATGTGCCTTGAATCGGGCCATACCCTCAACCATCAGCCAAGCAAGAAACGGCCAAGCCAAGTTACACCTGAACTCAAAGCACGCAGCTTGATTCCAAGACGAATTGCACCTTCCCGCTGCTTGTAGTGTGAAAAGCTGGCACCCACGCATTCACACCCACCTCCTAGCATCTCTGCTTTGTCTCCTGCCATGCTCGTCGTTTCTGCAACGCCCAAAGCACCACCAGCGCCGACACTCAGCCGAGCTTCCCGAGCTTCGAGGCGGGGCTGTCATATGATTACTGACTTTCTTCAGCTTCTCAAACTGTTGTTGCTCTTTGCTTTGTGAATTCTCGTGTTGATAGGATGTACTCAAAGGTGATTGTTGGGCGAGGCTCAGCGCCATCCCCCTGTTGTCAAGCGCACTTGTCTCAGATCGTTGGCATGCGACGGGACTCTTTTGCATTGTGAGCACTTGCTGCCGGCAGCTGCACGGGAGCTGCGCTGGGAAAGTCTTCGTTAAGTTACGCTTCGGAGTACATTGCCTGATGAGGGTAAGCTCGGCTGTGCAACCGACTCCAGGTTATCTATATTTCTGTGTATGGGAATGTGGATGCCAATTTCTTTTTCGGGCTCCATCTATGTATCTATCTGTCAATGTAGATATGTAGACATACGCAGACGTAGGCATGTCATTGTGGGGAGAAGGAAACCCGGCAACCCCCTTCACCTGAAACCCTAAAGCCAGCAGTGTGGTTCATAACTTCATGTTTAGAAATGTGCTTTCGCAGGAACGACAGGAGTCGTGCAAGCATCTATAGTGAATAACAGGAACTTGTGGCCGACAGGGTTTCCCTCTCTGAAAATCTAACAATGCTTGGAAAGGCGGCCTGAGACCAGCTGGGCCTCAGGCGTGCGCACGGGCGCAGGCCTTGTTTCTCTGTGCTGTAGACTCGGTCACCGTCCACTACCACTACCTCTTCCACCACACTCCTAGTACTACTAGCTCTACTTCTGCTACTGCTGCTGCTGCTACTACGACGACGACGATGACGACGACTACTGCTACTACTGCTACTGCCACTGACACGTCATGGTGGTTCATTTTTTGGTCCGAGTTTTTTGCGGGGAGGGAGGGCACGATGCTTGTTTGGTAAAATTGGTCATGTTGCACCACGTGCACCGCTCACGCCACTTGCACAACCTGTTGACCAAGAACCAAAAGGGTTGTAGCGTTTATGGGTTCTTCGTTTTAATTTGGGATGAGTCCAAATCGGGTTTTAGGGTTGCGCGCACCCGGCGCGCGCATCGGTTCAGGGTTTGTCGGGTTTGCGTAGGGGTTTATTGGTTTGGGTTTAGGGATGAGGATTTAGGGTAGGGTTTAGGGGTTTGGGTTTGGGCCGGTTTGGGTTTAAAATTTGCGGTTCAGGGCTGTCGGTTTTAGAGCAGAAGTTCTGCAGCAGAAGGGTTTAGGGTTTCAGGGTTCAGGATTACGTGTGGCTTGCGCGCGCATCGCTTCAAGGTTTACAGGGTTTAGGAGTTGAGGGGCTGGGGTTTAGGGATTAGGGTTTAGAGAGGGCCGGGTTTAGGGGCACGCCCGGCGCGCATCAGTTTAGGGGTTTGGGTTTAAGTTTCAGCTTCAGGGCTTAGGGGTTTCAGGGGTTTGGGTTTAGAGATTAGGGTTCAGGGTAGGGTTTAGGGCCTGGCGCATGCAAGTCAAGTGGTGCAAGTGGTATCCGAGGAGCGGGGCCTCATTTTGGTAATCTTAGTAGTCTTGGTTCGCAAGTGGTGCAAGTGGTATCCGAGCGATAAGTGGCACAATTGGCCCCCGGTCAGCAAGATGACCAGAGCTACCAAAATGACGCCCCCACCTTACAACCTCGGACCAAACTGGCCAAAATGACACGTCATTTTGGCCCCACTTCGGCAACCAGTTGCAACACCAGAATGACCAAAATGGCGCGTCATTTTGCCCCCCTGAACCGTGCCAGTTCCCCAGCACACTATTCCTACTACCTACACCTACTACCTACACCTACTACTACTACTACTACTACTACTACTACTATTACTACTACTACTCCTTTTACTACTACTACTACTACTACTACTACTACTACTACTCCTGCTGCTGCTGCTGCTGCTGCTGCTGCTGCTGCTGCTACTACTCCTATTCCTACTCCTACTCCTGCTGCTACTGCTACTGCTACCACTGCTGCTGATGCTACTTCTCCCACTGCTGCTGCTGCTGCTACTTCTCCCACT